TAAAAGATGATTTGTAAATGTTTTGATGTGTAGATAATTATTATTTGTTCTTGTTTAATTGATTGAAATGTAATAGTTGATTTGTTGATTTCAATCTGCATTATGTTGAATGCAAAATAGACTATCGCAACGCGGAAATGACTATCGCAACGAGAGAATCGCAATGCGAAATGAAAATCGAAACAAGAGAATCGCAATGCGAAAATAAAAATCGCAACGCGAAACTAAATTCGCGTTGCGATTTTTATTTCGCATTGCGATTGTCTCGTTGCGATAGTCATTTCCGCGTTGCGATAGTCAATTCCGCGTTGCGATAGTCATTTCCGTGTTGCGATAGTCATATTTGCGTTGCGATAGTCAAATGAATGTCTAATAAGTGATAACAATTGAACATATCATAGCAATGTTCAAACTCAAGTTACTAATACATGCCTAACTGAAAATGTTAAAAGTTCACACATAATATACACATAATACAACGTTTGCATTTAAAAATCACCTAAGTTAACAGTCCCAAAAGGTGAAGCCGGATGTGATTGGGATTTTGATGAGGATCCATATTTTGGTAGAGGAAAAGATGATTGTGATGGCACTGGTGATCCACATGTCAACCTTGTATGACCACTTTCCTTGCACCGACTACATGTCGATCTCTTCTTCTCTTCACCCTTAGACGGTATACGATCGTGACTTTTTGGTCGGCCAGGTAGCCTTCTGTCCATGGCTGGTGGCAAAACTGTTTGTAAGTCATCTGGTATGTCCCACTAAAAAGGATGTGGAATAGGGTAGACAATCTCGACATAAGTCTATCGATATACTTCTGTAGTATAGCAATCCATAACGCATGCGCTTGAATCATCTTGGTTTAGGTGAAGAGCAACTTTTATAACATGGCCACACGGATAACCAGATGTTTGTCATTTCATACAACTACACGTCTTTGCATTTAGATCGACAAGCCCATTTAAGTTATTATCCAGTACTTCAAACAAAGTGTTTGAACATGGTTCAACTCTCCATGACGTTGACTTCACAACACGTTTCGTTATCTTTTTTTAGTCCATGGTGTAACACTATGTTCCAATGTTCCTGTAAATTTAAATAAATAATACTTAGTAAAATATATGATAAGTTACGAATTTAAAGAAATAATACCTGCATTGTTTCTTTTCTTGTAGTACCACTGTTGAATAGAGGCTCGAAAAAACTCCATTAACATAGTAATGGGTAATTTCCGGGAATGACGACTTAGAGCGTTGATTGATTATGCACTATTAGACGTCATAAAACCATATCTTGCTCCAAGTTGATGTACTCTTGACCATCTTTCAAACCCGACATCTTCTAGTGTTTGAGCACACTGAGGCAAAACACGTCTTAAACAGTTTATATGCTTATTAAAATCCACTTCCCGATAAGCTTTTACAGCCTTCCAGTATGTCCATTTGTGATTTTTTATACCAGCAGACCTTGATTTTAGATTTCTATACAAATGAACACCACAAAGTCCATGAAAAGCATCTGGGAAACACCTTCTAACAGCGTTGTCAATTGAGTTTGCCCTATCGGATATGATTGTCAGATTGCTAATAGGACCTATGCAATCCCTAAGATGCCCCATAAACCATGTCCATGAATCAGAGGTTTCAGATTTGCCAACCCCGTAAGCTATTGATAATATCCCATTGTTAGCATCCATGGCTACTGCTAATAAGTTTACTCCAATGTATCAACCTTTTAAATGTGCTTCGTCAACTATAATAACTGGGCGTATGCAAGTAATAAACGAACGAATCTACAAAATCATATACACAAGAAATATAATCATTTAAATGTGAAATGCATGTAACTAACAAAAATGAGTCAACAAAAATGAGTCAACAAAATTATATTGATTTACTAACCGCAGCACCAATGGCGATAAACAACAACTCAAAGCGTCCATCTCTATCTGTTTTGATATGAGTTACCGACCCAGGATTTTTCAGCTTTAAATTGTGACAATAAGCCGGCAGTTGGGCAAATGATGCTTCTGGCGACCCCCTCAACAATTCCAAGGCATAACATTTGGCTCTCCAAGCTTGAGAATATGAGATACTAATCTTGAACCGAGCATTCATGTCAGTTATAATTTCATATCCCCGATATACCCTGCCATTCAAAAACATTAACTCAACCAGAAAACCACCCAACACCTTTTTGTTTGTCTGTCTATGGTGAGGAAAAACTTGGGGTTCTTGAACATGTATGTTTATCAATAAAAGTCCTAACTTGAAACATTTCGCAATCTTTTATCCTCTTTGCAATCATACGCCACGTACAGTTTTTGTCAATCATATACCTTGTTTCGAAATGATCTTTGCTTGATTTGTTAACTTTTAGTTGATAGCCATCTTCCACACATTTCGTATACAAAGTTATTTTCAAGTCTTCCTTTGTATCAAAACAATCATCTTTCTTCATACGAATAATTTTTGTGTAACAATCAACTGTTATCTTTACCAACTCTTTTTCTGGTATCTGAAGTAATTCTGGCATATTCCAGTTATACTCCCGTGGTATTTTCTTCGGGGACTTTTCTTTGGGGATTTCTTCTTCTTCTTTTTCTTCTTTAGGGTTATATGAATTACAGAATGAATGTTCAACATGTTCATTTACAGTCGTAACTTCCTCCTCATTATCATCAACAACATCTTCCTCGGCAACGGCTGTTTCATCATCAAAATTCGGGTATTGACCAATATCAAAATCATTACACGCATGGTCTATTTCTTCTTCTGAAAAATCATCAAAATCCGAGTATTGACCAAGATCAAAGTCCGGGTATTGACCAAGATCAAATTTCGAATACTGACTAGTACTCACAATTTTTCTGTTGGCTCATCATCGTCTAACTGGTCAATAAAAAAACCGGAATTTAGTGCTGAAAGTTGATTGGGATTTGGATTAGGGAAAGGTTGTGGGTTTTGAGATTGTGTTTGGTATTGGAAATGTGGTGAAACAATATTTGCTTGGTGATGAAATTGTGGTGGAACCATTAAATTTTGAGCACCATAAACTGGGGTTGAAAAACTTAGTCGATTACTACCCGCTACTGACCCAACTTCACTACTTCTAGGTTCAACAACATACAATGTAACATCATCACTTGAAACACTAATGTAAGCAATGAATCGTTCAACATCTTCATTGTCGGTTAACAAATAAACTTTACCATTTCTCTGATAAGATAGCCTAAATCCACTTAGGGGCTCTAAATTCAATTTATTTGCAACACGTAACATTAGAGTTTCATAAGTTAACTTTTTTAATGACAGTTTTAGTTGAAGATTCATGGGTAAAGGCATATATTGTAAAACACCATGAACATTCTCCCATGACCCTCCAAAACACAAATCTATCCAAACATGATCTACATTAGATGATTTCATTATTGTAAATTAATTTACTAAACAAACGAGCTACGAAACTAAAACCTGTTGCCAGATGGGGAAGGATGTCGTTGGATATAGGAACGGATGTCGCCGGAGAGAGTGATAGATGGAGATGGAATGAGTTGCGATTTAGGGATTTAGGTTATGAGTTGCTGCTGCTGCGTAGTTATATACCCAAAACATTTGTGTTGCGAAACTAAAACCTGTTGCGAATTCAGAAATCGAGTTGCGAATTTGAAATTCAGTATTGCGATAGTCAGAATCGCGTTGCGATAGTCAGATTCGCGTTGCGATTTACGTATTCGCATTGCGATTTACGTATTCGCATTGCGATTTACGTATTCGCATTGTGATTTACGTATTTGCATTGCGATTTACGTATTCGCATTGTGATTTACGTATTCGCATTGCGAATTAGGAAAATCGCAACGCGAATTTGAAAAATCGCAATGCAATAGTCATAATCGCGTTGCGAATCTGGAAACTGATTTGCGATACCGGAGATCGCATTGCGAATTATCGATCGCATTGTGATTTAGTTGGTCATTTTGGCAAATCCAAAAAAAGTTGTTAAAATCATATATTATAAGGCATTTTTGGTCACTGAAGTTATTTTCTCTATATAAAAATTATACGTTGTGGAGTGTTTTCTATTCTTTTTGGATCATAGAGATGGATTAAAGAAATCGTATCCTGTTAAATCTTTATTTTTATTTTTGAATTGATTAATTTTATCTCAGTTTAGTGTTAATTATGATTTTTTCCATAAATTCTTGAGATATATATTATGTAAGGTACACTGGCAAAATACATAGCATTTTCAAAAACACAAACAAACGCAGTATACACAGAAATACAAATACGGGCTATAAAGGTCTTAATCATCCAATTCATTCATTAATACATCGCAATACGAGATTTTTCAGAATCCATTAACACCAAACATCGAATGGAGTGCAGTCAGCTGTCAGAGGCAAATTTATAAAATTTCTTATAAGATTTTATGAGGGGCGAAAATAGATGATAAAATTTATAAACTTCGCAGGAATAACATTGTTTTCATAACATTGTTTTCAATCCAAGAATCCCAAGTTATTCATCTCATTCGGTTGCAGATTTTGCTAAATCTTTCACATTGTTGGTCTGATGCATTTCCTTTCAACTCACAACAATGGACAAGTCAGTCCAGAATTGAAGAATTATTAGAGCAGTTTTGTTATGCGAAAGTTAATTTATGAAGGGTTTTAAATCAATTGTATTTCAGACTCTGGTATTCCTAGAGAAGTAAATTCCATTTGCAAATGAAAGCTGCTTCCTTGTTTTTCACTTTCTCCTTTCCAACTTGAAAAGAAACAGAATTTATCTAATACTTACGGTGTGTTCATTTTTCCTTTTTGACCTGTAACATCCTAAAAAGCAATGTCCACAGATCCTCTCAAAACCAATCAAACAAAAGAGAGTATCAATCAAATGGAGAGATTAATTGCAAATTAATAACAGAACCAGCAATCTGCTTGAGAAATTACTCGAATAATATTATTTGCCACTACATTTAAAGGGATTTTGATATGGGATTCTTCATCAAAAGATTTCTCCGAATCCTGGAAAATCCCCATTGTCCCGAGCACCCCTCAACATACATTTGATATAATAGACAGGCATCATCACATTTCCAGCTAACCAGAGGGAGATTGGGAGATTCGCTTCATATTTTATCATATTTCTTTAAACAGTCTACAAACAAGAAAACTATCTTATCTAGCTTGTCTCTCTCCATCTTCTTCTGAAATGTTGAACAAGAACTTGGGGAGAGATGCGATTCTGGGAAGATGAAGCAACAACTCGCTAAACGAGTCTTTTCTTGACATGCCTGGGGCCTGCCTGCTACCAGAGACTTCCTTCGTTTTCCCTTCATAAGCCTTCGCATCATCCTTGGCTGTAATATTGAACTCAAACCCGTGAGTTTTGCTTACCTGAACATCTTTTCCATCATCAGGTCCATTGTAATTTTCTCCATTAGACTGAGAGCTTGTGCCAGTTGTGGCGTCCTTTTGCAAAAGACAACAGAGAGAATTGACCCTTGACATGAGAGATTTCTCGTCAGAGGCTGTTGTAAATTGAGTGTCACTGAGAAGGTATTGTGCAATATCCTCCAACATTTCCTCGCAGTCTGGTCTATTTTGAGAGGATGGATTTTCGGAGGTCATATGTTCTGAAAGACGGTGTCCAATATGGTTCATAAGATCACTCATGGACATAGACGGGTGTAGTCCCGGCACTTTTATCTGGTCCCAATTTCTTGGCCCCTTTGAATCCACTGTTTCGCAGACTTCACTTCCCTCAATGCCACAAGAGTCCATGACTAATGTCAAATGTGATACTAATTAGAGAGGAAAAGTGGTAAGAAAATATATTTATAATCAGCTAGAACTATAAGTCTGAAGCCCAGAAAAAGGAACAACGCTAATGCAAATACTAAATCAGTCGAGGACCTGAGGCTTCTGATCGTACCTGAACTGGGGGATGGAGCTTCCCTGGACATATTTTCTGAGGTTATGGCAGCAGAATCCCCTTTCTCAACCTCAAAGGACGAAGACTGAGCTGCAGCAGGCGATGCTATATTTTGGAAGCCAGAGCTAGTAGATACTTTACCAGTCTCCCCTTCACAATAGTCATGCCCTTTTGGTTCTCCAGGATCCTCAAAAACCGAACTCTTTGATTCAAAGTACGGTGAATCCAAAATTATCTCTGGCTGTCTGCTTAAACAGTTCAAACGCATGTCACACTGGATCAGTTTTTCAAAATGTTTGTTTAACAATCCTTGGGGACACTGCAGAAAATGTTGCCTGCAAAATTGCAATAAAAAAATTTATTAGCATATTAGGCACATAAACAACCGAAGTAAACAGCAATATCCAGCTCATATTTAAACAAAGAAGAATTAAAATACATCACTTTTAAGTTTTACCTATGTATGCTAGCTTGACCATCAGTAAAATCTGCAGTTGTCTGCCATAAGGTGTGTTTTCTAGGCTGTGGATTAGTCTCCCGGAAGAAAAGGGGCTGTCTAGCCAGCTGCATCATCAAAGAAACAAGCAGTCATACAAAATTATTGCAGAAAAATAAAATAGAGATTGGAAAAGGAAATGAACATCATACTGAACAATGGAACGTTTACCACAACATTCAAAGTCCCGGGCCCATTATCAGGACAATTTGCCTTAAGAGCCATAATATCCGACCACTGTATTTCAATCTTACTCTTAAGCCCACCTTCCAACACCTCCCAAACAAGCTTATGCTTTGCAAAATAACACTTGGCAACTAAATCCCCTTCATACTTAGACTTATACTGTAAATCACCAAGTAAACAATTCATCAGCTTCTTGACCCTCAAAATAAAAGGATTTGAAGATAAATAAATAAAACTTAATGAAAAGTCACCTCCCAGTGACCGATTCGAAGAATAGAAGCTGGAAAATTCGAGGCTTTAAGCTTATCGGTAGCGGCAGCAGCTTTACTCTCCTTCTTGACTCCAGAATTCGAATTTTCCGCTTCGGCAACTGATCCACTGGTTTGGGATTGAGAGAGGCGCATTTGGATCAAATCCAAAAGCGAAGTACTCTTCCTTAGCTTCAAACCAAGCGGGCTCGGCTCATCCAACGGATTATAATGCGCTGGTGGGATCGGGAAAGCATTGACATCGGAGTTCCCCTGACAGAATATAAATTGAAAAAAAAACCCCACAAATAAAATCTTTAAAATGTAAAAGCTCTAACAAAAAAAAACATCTTATTGTTTTCTCTAAATAATTTAGATCTCTCTCAAAAATAAGGAGAATGTTTCACTTCATTGGGGGGGGGGAATACCTGTTGAAGATTTGAAGAAAGTTTGGATCGTTTGTTAATAGGGCCATATTCTTCCTCTAAAGAATCCTCCACGATCTCCAATTTCACCGGCGCCTTGTCCCGGCACACTTCGGGTTCCAGCGTCGGATTTCCCGATCTCATCAACTGCACCATCCAATCTAAGCGAAATCCCTATTTTCCCAGTTCCAACCGAAAAACTCGCGGAAAAATCTAGCTTTAAAGTTTTTCTTTTCCTTCTAATCTAAGTTCAAGGAAAGAGAGCGAATTTCGGAGATTCTGAAACCCTATAAAAACTTACTTTGGGGAAATCTAATCAACGGTGTTAAAAGGAGAGAGGTAGTAAAGAAGGGATCCTCTTTGGTGGCGAGCTCGTGCGAATCCCTCGTCGTTTGAGCCATCACACTTGAGGATGGGATCACGATATTACTTTAATATCCTTGATTTGGCAATTATTGGGGTTGGAGAAAAGGGTACTTTGGGGTACTCAGTTGGGAGAGAGGAGCATGTGCCGGCAGACACGTGAACAGATAAATGGATAACATGTGGGGTCCAGAAATGTTAGGATATTTCTTTTATATGACGGCGGTACTTTGGTGCTTTTTTTTATATAAAAAAAATTAACGGTGATCGATATATTTATCGATCAAGTATCGGTCAGATTATATTTTTAGATCTAACATCTTTTGTAGTAAGGTTTGTTATACGTTGATTTGGCGTCACGTGGGATAAGTTGATAATTAAGGGGTCGCGCCTTACCTGTGATTCTGGCACGCGTTAGAATGGTGTGGGCCCTACCCCGCGCTATACCATTAATTATCAAATTACCCCGCCCATTCACAACAATCCCTCCATATAAATACCATCATTCTCAATCACTTTAATCACACCAAATTCTCTCAACTTCTCTCAAATACTCTTAAATTATATTATTAAGGTATATTTTATTATATTTAGTATCTTTTAGTAATTTATTTAATTGTTTAATATTTTATTTAATTAATTTTTTTTACAGATATAAAATGTAAGGCGGTCTACTTTGGTTAGATGGAAATCATATATCTCGACACTTTGTTGATATGGTAACATTTTAACGTTTTAATTTAATTAATTAATTTATTTAATGCATGATTATTAGTTTAAAAATTAATTTGTTTAATTATTTATTTTTTAGGAGAGAGACTGTATATTAGATCATTTTATTAGGAACCTTAAGTTAGTTATATCTACTCGTGTAATGTCGTATTTAGTAGAGGTTGGATTCGATTACCTAGGTAGATATCAGAGTCACTGTAAGATAGAACCAGAATTTATTTCTGCCTTAGTAGAGCGGTGGAGGCCAGAGACCCACACATTCCATCTTCCGTGCGAAGAGTGCACGATCACGCTTGAGGATGTTTCTATGCACCTGGGGCTTCCGGTGGATGGAGGTGTGATATCAGAGATAGCTTCCGGTTCTTGGACTACATTGTGTCGGGTTAGTCTAGGACGTGTCCCGGAAAATTTTAACGGTGGACGAATACCGTTAAATTGGTTAGATGCCAATTTTCGGGAGTTGAGCGAGGACGCGTCTAACGATGAAGTTAAACAGTATGCACGGGCATGCATACTGTAGCTGATAGGAGGGTTGCGGATGCCGGACAAATCGCGCAACCAAGTTCACTGTATGTGGTTACAACATCTTGGCGACTTTTATCTGACCGGATCACTCAGTTGGGGCTCGGCAGCTTTGGCTTGCCTGTACAGGGAGATGTGTCAAGCCATTGACTACAGGCGTAATGCTATCGGCGGATGTCTCCTGCTGCTGCAGTCTTAGGCATAGTATCGATTGCCCTTTTTATGTCCCGTTGTCAAGAACCCATTCGTATTGCCGCTACTCCTGAGGTAATTATAAAACTGATTTTGTATATTAATAATTTTATATAGTGAATAAGAAATTATTTTTCTTGAATAGGTGGTCTACTGATAGAAAAAATCATCAGGAGCTACATGATGATTTAGAAAAAATTAGGGTGTTAATCGATCAGAATGTTGGCACACATGTATGAATTTTAATGTTTAAAATTTGATTTTAGATTATAGTTATATAATTATATTATTATTTTGATAAAAATTATATATATTTATTTTAGTTTGAATGGGTGTCATATTCTACTGATGATGTGAGGGCGGTGATCCCACCTGAGTTGAGAGGCCCATCAGATGTTTGGATGGCGATGGTCCCCTTGATCTGTTATGCGACCGTCGAGTGGCACTCCACTGATCGCATGCTCCGGCAATTTGGTTGTTTTCAACCAATTCCGGAAGCACCTCGCAATATGGACGAGTTACATAGCACATATAAGCACGTGCTAGTGAGGCATCATACGTGGGTCGTATTGTGGGAGGATCGACATCGGCGTCTTTCCCGTAGAGAGCCCATTTTATTTGACCTCTTGATAGTTGCTGACGGTTATTACGAGTGGTTCAACAGTAACGGCAAACCGTTTCTACTTCCCGAGGATGCACGATGGTAGACCTTTCCGCGACGTCGACAGAGACGTTCACCGACACAGCACCATCGTCCCCGGACTCGTGGACGGAGAGCAAGTGCATCCGGTTCATCCTCAGCTGCACCAGCAGGACCTTCACAGCAACCTCTGTATCCAGCGACTTACATACCACAGCCATATATGATGCCGCCACCACCTTTCCATTACCAGATGCCGCCGCCACCGTCACAGATGACCCCTCCTGGAGGCTATTATGGATCTATGTTTGTAGATCCGACTTGAGGTTCATATGCTGGATATTTGGCGGGTTCAGCCTCATCACCCATGGCCGCAGGACATACACCTCTTGTACAGTTTTCACACTCAACGATGTCTGGGTTTTATGAGTTTTCCCAATTTTTGCAGGCCGGTGGGATAGTCAATCATACACCTCCAGGGTCCTTATTCTATGGATGTGCTTCATCGTCATTAACTCCTCATCAACCTAATGTACCTACTCAGGACGACGACGACGACGATGATGACGACGACGACGACGATGATGGTGGTGATGATGATGACAGTGAGGAGTCACAACCACTTATACGAAGAAATCCTCCTCGAGACCGACAGCCACCGCCCTGCAGAACACATTCGAGTTGCAGGCATCGATAGATTTTGTTTTTTATTATATTTGTATTTAGTTTATTGGACTTTTTAATTGTAATTTTTTATTATTTCTCATTTAATACTTACTTTATTTTGTTAAATTTGTTTGAATTGTTTTAATGTATTTCAGTTAATTTTGTTTATTACCATTTAATATCAGTTATTGTAATTTGGCTATCATTTACCATTTAATACTTATTGTAAGTTTGTTGTATTTAAAATTATTTTGAAATACCAAATTGTTCGATAACTTTCTTAAGTTTGTCATTTATTATCTCTTTTATTATAATCACATATAACGCAAATGTCCAATCTCGTATTATTGTATCGTTTTTTAATCTTCATCAGCGATTATCGAATGACATTAACTTGAAGTAAATGCAAATCAAAGTACAAGAATTATTATTTGATAAACAAATACATCATTTCCTCATCAATTGTTACTTGATGGCAATAGAAGTGAACATGTTTTTCTAGTGTGTCCTGGGTTTCTACAATGCCCACATCTTCTGTCTTGTCTAGATCTTTCTCGAATATCGATATCGCAATGAATTCAATTGGATTTTGGACGACCACACTCCCTCAATAAACTCATATTTGGTATAATCGAAAGCCAATCTTGAACCTCATAAGGGTCTTTTTCATTACCTATAGGGGGAAACTCAAATTCGTATACCTTAAAAACTTCAGATAGTAGGTATACAGGATCCAAAAATGGTTATAGTCTTGACGTGTATACGAGCAAGCTGCTATCACATGAGAGCATGGATACTTAAGAGCTTGAAAAAACCTCCAGTCGCACGTTCTGTCCCTTAGATTTACTCTTAACGACACAGCTTCAATCCCTTGAAGAGGTCACGGCAACTCTGTGACACAAAACATTTCATGCCTTCTAGAAAAGCTTATTACATACATTCCATTTGATGCAGAAATTTTTTTCTGTAGATCTGCAACTAATCTAGGGTGATAGACATGACCGCCTTGCATCCAGTTTTGAGCTTATCCCCCGAGCTTCGCAAAAAGCACCCCCAAACGAAAATATGTAATCTTTACCAAAGCCTCTACTGGTAAGTGACGTGCACCCTTTAAAGTTGAATTGATTGCCTCTGCCAAGTTGGTCGTCATGTGTCCATATCGATATCCACCATCATATGCGTTCGTCCACATTTCTTTATCGATGAGGCTGATGTAATCGTATCCTTCCTCGTTCTTCGCCCGCAAATCTTGAAGCATTGATTCAAATGTTCGAGGAAGTAGTTCGTAACCTGATCAAAAAATATATAACTTACTAATTTGCTTTCTTTATAAAGTTAAAACGATCGAAAGAAAACAAACTACATCAGTTTCACTTACCCATACACACAATTAATTGACGCTCATCATTCTTCTTGTACCTTTCATGGTAGTTCGCAGCAATGTGTCGGAGACAATACCTATGTTGAACAAAGGGTGGTTGCCACATTGGACCCAAAGACTCCATTGCTGCTTTGATCCTAGCTTCGCAATCTGAAATGACACAGATGTTTTCCCTCGTGATAACACGTGCACGTAAATTTCAGAGAAAAAACCCCCAATAATCTGTATATTCTCATTCGACAAGAGCAAAAGCAACTGGAAGAATGTTGCGATTGTCATCTTGGACAACTACAAATAATAAAACTTGCTTGTATTTTCCATACAAGAAAGTATCTTCGATCTGGACAACATGCTTGTAGTATTTGACAGCATTAACGCACTGTGGGTAAGTCCAAAAAACCCGGTAGAATTGGCATCGATCGCGGAGAACTCGATCATTATGGTATGCATAGGAGGTTTCGAAGTCCACAATTGTCCCAGGATTCAACCTCTGCACCAGCCTAAACCAGCTTGGAAGTTCGTTGTAAGATGCATCCCATTCACCAAGAAGTTTGACAATGGCATTTTGTTTTGCCAACCAAGCTTTTTTATAGGAGACAGGTACCCATACTGCGATTGTATAGCTGAAATCAACACAGCAACAACTATATGAGAGCTTGCTTTTACCATGGGCATGATGGCTTGGCATATCACTTCAGAGTCCAAGTTGTGATGATCTTGGTTGACCCCTCCAGCACAACATGTGTAAGGACCGTTGTATAATGTTAGTTCACATATGTTGTTTTTTCTCTTCCTCTTCGATACAAGA